AGTCATCCCTGTTTCTGTTTGTAATACTGCAGGAGGAGAATGGCATCTGTGATTTTACTGTGCGAAACCTTCCCACTGTGTTCTATATTAAAGAAAACTGCATATTTATTTTCTTCTTCTTCAACTTTTTTTGTTTCTTTTCACCTTTTCATCTGTCCTACTGAGCTGCTTCAGCTTTTAGCTGCCTTGCAGACCCTTTTTCCTTATTTTCATTTGCCTTCTCAGGTGCTGGTTCATCTGCTTATGAAGTAGTTATTTTCTCTTCCTAATGTTCATTTGCTGCCTTGATTCCCTCCTGCTTTATCTTTGATTAATTTCTTCCAGTCCTGGAAATAGAGGAAATGATGGGAGGAAGCTGTCCCAGGAACTGTTACGAAATGATGTGGTAAATGACAGTATAAGGGTACCTACTGTGGGGTATACCAAAGATTCTCACAGAACTGATTATCTTTCAGGGCTTGGGAGGGATGAAATTGATGTGTGCAGGGAATCTTTGGATACTAAAGGTGTCAACTATATACACCCTGAAGAGGAGACCAGAATGACCTTTTTTAGGTAGGAAGGTCAGTTTTAATGTGATCAGGCAAAAAATGACCTTGGCAGTCCTATCCTAACTGGTTATCCAGGGTCCCAGGGAGCCACTTAATGGGATGAAGGTTGTAGCTGAACCTCAGTTCTGCCCTGCAATGCCAGGTGCTGCCTGCTTGTTAAGAGTCACCCAACAGAGGAGAGAATGTGATCATAATAACACTTTGTTTCCTCGAGGCAGTGAGCAATGACCCCATGTTCCTGCTAGGTGAAGGAAAATGTTTTGTACTTGTGAGTTCTTCCTCTCTATAAGTGGCTTGTGCTCCTCCTGCTTCCTGGTGTCAACTTTTGGCACTTTATGAGCTGTCCTGAGAATCTGTTCATGTTCTTGAATGTACGAAAGTAATCCCCATCACATTACAGCTTCCCTTTCCTGTGCCTTCCTCAGTCTCTTGTCCTATCTATCTCCTCTTCCTTGCTCTCCACCCCTTCTGCCCTGCTATGCTGGAGTGTATAGACTCTGTGTTGACTGTGGTACCACAAGAAAAGAGAGTGAGGGAGGAAAAAAGAGGTGGTGAGTCAGCTGTGCCTGTAATCGATTAGTTAATTGTTGTGTTATGGTAGGTAAATTAATTGGTGGTGTCCAACACAGAAACTGAGCAAAAAGCATGAAGCTGCTTAATGACTCTGCTCACAAAACATACCTCTAGTTTTTGGGGAGTCAGGTATGCCACTGCTCCATGGCTGACATCTCTTCAACTATAGAAATGTTAATTCATTCTGAATAGAAAACCGATAGTTATGGCTTGGACCCAAGCCTCACCCTTAACTCCCTCAAAGTTGTTTCTTTCTTCCCCTCAATTCTTATACAAAAATCTTTCTTAATTGTGGAAACAGACTGAGATTGGTATCAGTGCAAATCCTTAGGTGTAAGCTCTGTCCTGATGCTTTTGCATGAATGCAAGGTATTGAATGTCTTCAGGGGTGCTTTTTGTGGTGGTTATTTTAGACAGAGAAGTCTAGACAGTTCTTAGGATCTATTGCACATCTCTACACCTGCCAAAATTTGGGAGTGAGTTTTGTTCAAATTACTCAAATTACTGCCGTTCATCAGAAAGGTTTCCCAACACATGTAACACAAACTGAATTAGTCTGTCTCTCTCACTCTCCCTCCCCCCAAAAAGTCTCTGCTACTAGTGTTCTAAAATTTGAATAAAATTCTGCAGTTGCTATTTTTATTTCTACCTTTCCTCATTCTCTAGCAAGTACATAAATAGAAAGGACATTCTTTTGTGCATATTTTTTATTGTGCGTGCAAGAAATAATGTAAAGATTTCACGCATATGATTGAGACAAATGCTTTTTAAACACACTTTGAGCCTAAAATTAATAGATGAGGTTTGAGAGAGGCTCTTCAGTGGATAAAGAAGATAAATATAGATACCTTTTTTCAATGTCAGTCTTTTATTTTTTCAGAAATACAGAAAAGTGCTTTCTTGCTTGAACATGCTAGTACTGCGCTGTTGAAAATGAAAAAGTATTTTTCTAAGTAATGTAAGAAATTATCTAAGTAACGTCGACTTGTTTTTTATAGTTTTTAGTTCATCTAAGTTCTTCAGCAATATCTAGACATTGCAGTTGGCAATATGAAGTCTCCATAAAGCTCTGAAGTTCATGGAGAAAATACATGGAAAGAATACAGATATTTGGAAGAAGGGAAAAATGAGCAATTCATTTAGACTACTAGTGACATTTGAATGCTCATTTTAAAACTTTGCTTAAATATTATTAGAATTTATCAAATTGGGTTAGCAGTCCTTTTTTTTCTCCCTTCCCTCTTGGAAGTGTGTTTTGCACATGATCTTTTTGATTTGCATATGATTAAACATTTCATTCACATAATGGAAAATTAACTACAGGCTATAAAATGTGTTTCAATCTCAATTAAAATGTCTAATATTTCCCCCTAGGTTTCTTAATAAAAATAATAACAATGTTCCTAATGCTGGTAAGTTCATCTTAAACTATCTACCAATACATGAGTTTATGGGTCTGTCTTCACTTCCTGCTTTGCATAGTTTTGCTCTTTTAATCTTAAATACATATCTAGCTGAGCAGCTGTGCCACTGTTGGCTATTTTGAGTCAACATTTATGCAGTTTTTTAATATTTTTTGAAATGTAGTCCTACACTGAGATTCTAAAAGTACTGTTTTTAAGGGCTCTTGATAATTTTTTTTAAGTAGTCCTTCAAGTTTTAGTAGACCTTCAAGAATGGGCAAGCATGATTTTAAAAAAAACACAGGCAAACTGAAAGCCACGGTTTTATTTTTTTGGGGAGGATATATACATTTGAGTTTCCGTGTTTTAGCATAAAATGAAGTTCTAGAAAGGATAGTAGACAAAAACCAAACTGCATGAAAAAAACTTAAAAAATAAAACCTTAACTGCATGCTGAATAAAGTGCTTTATTTTAGGTGTTTGTGTAGTTTGTAATGGAAACTATGGGCTTACAAGAGCAAATGATGGGAAACAGTGATCTGTGAGGCAGCAATAAAAATTGGGAATGCCAAATATGTGCACTGTATGTCAGCCTTGGTTGTGAATTCGTTTGAAAAAATAAATTGTTAAACAATGAAGGCCAGTTATTTTTTTTTATTATTTTCCCTGGGAAAAGAGTTTGTATAGTCTAAGGGGGAATTTGTTGCCTGTGGGAAAGAGAACAGTGGGCTCAATTTCCAAAATGTATGTGGCTTTGCCAAGACATATGGGAAGAAACAAGAGTGCACCCTGAAGAACTGTAGCCCTGGGAGTCTCTGCTAGTCTTTGCACGCGGGTTTTCCCATTCATAATTACACTTAAAAATCGAGCTGTGTGCTCTGGTAGCTCTGCACGGGGAGGAGTCGAGTTTATTCAGTCAGATGTTGGTTTACTCTAATAAGTAAGCTTGCCTGAGTCGTGTAAAGGGGTGTCTGTCCTCATTAACTTGGAAAGGCAAGTGGTGTGTGTTTAGTGTGCCTTTGGGAGCCCATCCTCTGCACATCTGCTGTCAGCAGGCACTGCGAGGAAGCAGCGGCTGCTCCTGCTGCTGTTGGGACGTGAATATGTTTCATGTGACTCCTCAAACCCCCTTTGTGATTTGTGTGAAGTGTTTTCTTGGTGGTAGAATGCACTGGGAGTGCTTGTTTTCCAGGCTGCTGCTGCAGTTCCAGGAGTGGAACTGAGTGCTGGTCTTTTGGCTCTCATTTCTCTGTAGTTCAGGATGCTGTTTGTGTTTCTCATCTGCTGTGTTCGATATCCTGTCCATCTCAATGGTTTCCTTTTGAACCAGCATTGTGCATAAACATCCTTTATTCAAGTAAGGGTTCAACCTCTTTTTAAAAATGAATGGTGAAACAATGTAGGTGTTGTGGATGATACAAAGAAGATGTCAAGTGTGTTACCTGAATTTTTGCTCCTGTCAGTCGTTTTCAATGAGTGTGGTCTGCGAAACAGATCTAATTGGGTCTGTTCCTTTTGCTCTAGCCAAAATATTGAAGGGGAACAGAGCTACAAGAGCTCTGAAACATTTTAAAAATAACACATCCATCCAAATTTCATCCCTAGATTATTGCTGCTCGCAGACTCTTTAACAACAGAGGAAATAAGGAGAATACATAAGAAAACAGGATTAACACATGAAGCTTAGAGTAAAATAAGATGAAAACCAGAAACACTTTCTGTAATCATTTGGGAAAACCTACTGTAAGAGAACAGGATCATAGAATCACAGTTTAAAGTAAGGATTTGGGTGATACTGCTGGGACAAAATAGTCCAAACTGTTTAAAAAATACTTCTAGATAGAAAAATGAATAGATATCTTACTGCTGTATGTTGATCCTTAGAAAGGGGAAGCAATGGCTGCTTCAGGAAGCTGCAGGCTCTTATAAATCAAGGTAATAATGAGACTTAAGCCAAACATCCTTTTGATTGCTTTGCCTTTGTGTTTTACTTTTTTTTTTGGTCAGTTTCCTTCTCATCATTTTAGGCTTTTGTTTCTTTGCTTATTTAACAGGCTTTGGGCAAGATCTTTGTTGTTGCCTTGGATGATTTTTTTTGAGGGATGTTATTTTACTGTTGTTGCTATGGATGCCCCTCAGGGTTTGGGTCACCCTGATGTGTATGTCCCTTGGTCACTTTGCCTGTGCAGACAACAAAGACACGGTTTTACTGGCTCAGCTTGATCCACAAGGAGCAGGCAGGTTGTGCATTGACTTGAGTGACCCAAAGATCCCCTATGACTTACATACTCTGTTTCTGTGCTCCCATGGTACAGCCTCAGTCACACTGCAAGTTTCCTTCATAATTTTGCATTGTATATTATATGAAGGTAAAATTTCTGCCTTTTGCGATGTCTTTTTTTTTTTTTCTTTCTCTTTTTTGAGGGTTTGTTTGTATCTGATGTTCCCTTGTCTCTCTTTTGTGTTTTGGTAGGCCTGGATGATTGCCTGCAGCAGTATGTCCATAAATTTGAACGGGAGAAGATAAATGGTGAACAGCTGTTACAGATTTCTCACCAGGACCTCGAAGACTTGGGTATCTCACGGATTGGGCACCAGGAACTGGTTCTAGAGGCTGTGGATCTCCTGTGTGCACTGGTTAGTTCAACTGTGAATAGATAGGCAAAGAATTTCTTAAAGGGCTTTTTTGGGTGAATAGCCAAAGGAAGATTGATAAAACTGGAATGCCTTTGTCACTTTGTCTTTGGTTTCTGTTACACATCATGATAAAACAAAAAAGTAAGAATTTGTTTAATTCTTGCAAATATTCTATTAATGGCTCTAGCTTTTTCCTGATAAGAGGCAACTTCAATTCATTTGGTTGCACTTCCAAAGGAAGAAGTTGTCTGGGTGGCATTGTTAGATCTTGTGGCTCCTGTTAATGAGAAGTTTGTCTCAGAAGACAGAAGGCACACACTGTTGAAATGGCAGGTGCTAGAAGTTCTTCACATTAGTTGAAATGGATTTTGGGTAATTCTGTAGCAAGCCTAGGAAGTGAAAAAAAACCTAATTCTTCAGATGAGGGGTGTTTAGCCACCTCAGTTACAGTCTAGCTGAACTCTTCATTGGATTCAGAGCTTAAGCTGTTCCTTTGTCCTGCTCCTGATATGTAACTGCAGATACTTTGAAAACAAAAATACTCTGAAAAGAAGAAATACATTTTGGATTGTTTTACTCCAGCAGAGGCTTTATTTAAAAGCCATAGTTTGGTCACAGTCTTGAAGGCCTGTTTGATGTAGTGCAGTGTGATGGACACCAGAGGTATATATAATTACATCAGGGAGGAGGGTGGGAAAGCCTGCCTGATGATTCCTTGGCCAGCACTGGCCTGTCTTCCCTACATTAGGCAAGGCTTGCAGCAGCGAGTGTGTGCTGCTTAAAATGGAGTCTTTATTGCCTGTATGGTATGTCCTTCATTTGCTTCAGAGAGGTGCTGCAGGGGGTGTTGCTACTCCACAACTTTTGGAGCAAATTGTACTGAAATAAACATATTTAATGAAAGCTCTTCAAACAATCTAAAATGTGTCTCAAAAAATTACTCTTATACTTGAAAGACATTTTATTTCCTTTAGGGATTTGATTTACCAAAAATTTTTAACATTAACTTGAAAACCAAATAGAAGAATGTAAGTAGACTGAGAAGCAGTTCATGCTGTGGGAAGAAGCTTGTTGGGCAAGTGCAGGGGACTGGTGAGTTAGTAAATGTAGTATATTGTGTATATGGTCCTGACTGAAGTAATCTATGTGGCAATCCCCAAAGGCACTTTTTTATTCTCTTAAAAATATTAGAATAAAGTGAACAAAGCTGGACAACTGCCAGAATGTAAAGCTGTCTTTTATCTCCTACAATTTCCTTCTCATTTCCTTTGCAGACAAAAGTTTTGACCTCAGACCCATTTCTGGAAATCCTTTGTGAAATGCAGGTCAAGTTAATGCATTAGACAGATACTGCGTATTACAGCTGAAATGTGCTTGTTCCCTTTTTAAGAAGTGAAGGAAGAATTCCTGTGTTTTCAGTGTGCCCTTTGCCACCTTCTTGATACCTGTTCCCTTGAGTTTTTGAAACTGTATAGAATCACCACTGATTTTGTTTCCAAGCAGATGCTAAATGCTAGTGACAGCTAATGATTTTTTTGTTGTTTCTTCTTTTTGTGCAAGAGAGAGGTTTCCTGATTCCACCTGCATTAGTTCTTTGAAAGTGGGACCATTTAGTGTTTGTTTTGTTGCTGACATTTCTCCAAATTTTGGGGCCTTTTAAGCAAAGGAACTATATTTTTTTCTTTTTTGTTCCACTTTTTTGAGCCCACTGCCACACCCACTAAGCTGTCAGTTCACACTGTGGAAATGTGTCATTGGCTGAGCTAGCCTGATGTCTCTCTTTGAAAGGTTGTCATTCTTGGCGGAGAAAGGCTGAAGAGGGGGTTTTGGTGGTTTCCCAGTACTGGGCTTCCCAAGAATTTCCCTTTTTATCTAGTTTTGCCTTGGCAGTTTCCCAGCTGAGTTTTCTTCAGATCAGTGCTTTGGTTCCTTCACACCACAGGAACAATGTGGCTCTAAAGACAGTGAGGAAGCTCTCTTTGGAACATCTTTCTCCTGCAGTATCTCTTTTGAAGAATTCATCATACAGACCTTTGTTCTGGCCTCAGATCAGCCACTTAATATATTGAGTGTGAACATAGTACTTTCCTTGAGAAAGGACACCAAATGCATCTGATTGTTCAATTTAGTTTTTCTAGTGGTTAAGTACTATTTGGCAGCACCGAGCTAAAAATATGTCTGGAAGTTTCTGGTGTGAAAAATAAATTAATGCATCTTTCTCTGCTGCTTTGGTGATGAAGCAGTCCTCATGTCCTCAGAGCAGAGGCTGCATATGCAGCATCTTGAAGAGTCAAGCAGGAGAGTGTAGACTGGGATGAGCACATTTCTGTTGCTCTTGAGCTGGTCTATCAGAGTTTTCTGAACAGGTGTTCAGGACTTATTTGAGGAATTTAGAGGATATATCAAAGGACCTGAATTCCCCCTGAAGATGGGAAGAAAATCATCAAGTTGAGTATTTCAGCTTTTTGTTGACAGTACTGCTTGTTGTGGGGAGGGAGGAAGGGGTGGAAGAAAGATCATTTCTTTGTTGATGAAAGTATTTGAGGGAGGGGGGAACAGACATACATAACTTTGCTTTTCAAACCACAAAAGTAGGGACAAAAAACAAGCTTTTGAGGGCTTAATGAATATCAAACAATGCAAGCAAGAAACTATGCAAATATTTTCACTTTCAATGTGTTCTTTGGATATGATTTCTGAATCTTTGCCCACACTGTATGATGGGTGACTTTGGAAAAAAAAACCCAGTAGATTTTTCTTGAGGTTTAGAATAAAGAGATACTAATTATATACAATTAAAAAACACCCCACACCCTGAAAAAAACCGAAAAAGGACATAGTTGTGCATTTGATAATTTTTCTGGTGGTAATGTTCCACCAGCATATTTACAGTGTAACAAAATATAGCATCATAACATGAAAAAGCAATGCATACGTGAAGACTTACCCTTTAGGTCCTAATCATTGTCAAAAGATATCTGTACACTATATAAGATTTTAGTTTTTTTAGTGGCTTCAAATTTTGTGTTGTTTATTAGGAAATTTGCTATTCCAGAGGTATTTTTAGAATATATTTTTGTTACAAGGAAAAGAGCAAGAATGGGTGACTGTGACAGTACCTTGTGTTAATTCAAATGTTTGTATAGGACTGCAGTGAGTTGGACCAGTATTTGTCCAAGCATTTGAACTGGTTTTGTTTTTTTTTTCTCCAGAGCAGATTTTCAGTTCAATCAGCCAGTATGTCCAAGTCATCACATTGCAGTATGTGAACATGGCTGTGAAAGAGGAGTGGCCCTGTCCCTGGGCAGTAGCAGAGCTCTTCAGCAGCCCAATTCAGTTCTGACACAACTGCTCTGCTCTTTTGACTTGAGCTAGCTATGGTTCTTAAAATTTTTGTTTGGTTGGTTGGTTGTTTTTTTTTGTTATGTTGGCTGCCTGACCTTGAGCCATTATTTGGTCAGATTACTTTTTCTCATTAATTGTGATGGAGTTTAGCAGGAGCGAGCTCATGTGCTTTCTCCTGCACGTGTGGGTGCTGCCTCTCCTCCAGCCCTGCATGTGGCTTCCCAGGTTAATGAGTAATAGCCTGGGAATGTTTGACATAGGGTGCTCTTGACCGCTGGCTTCAGCCTGTGTTTAGATTAAAACAACTTTGATGTTTAAAATTGGGAGGGATAGTAAAATGTAACCTTTTCTTTGGTTCATGAGCAACATCTAAAACCTGTTGGTTGCTAAAATAATAACTTGTTAACTCTTGTAGCCTTAGTCCTGTGGAAATATTTCAAGAAAAGCCAGCTAAGCTTTGCACTTCAGCTGTGTGTCACTGTGAAGGTTGTTTGGTGTGCTGCCACAATATCAACAATCCTATCTGTCCTGGGCTGGGGCTATAGTTCTATGACAAGTTAAATTAATCCAAGTGAGCTGCTGTCTCCACCCCCTCCTGTCCTCTGATTAGTGACCCTTTGTGCTTGTACTCACCTGACCCTGAAGTGAGCTACTTCAGGGAGCTAAACCAAGAGGATTAGATTCATTTGTATTGTTTAGGTCCCCAGGCCAACCCTCCCAACAGAGTGGACGTTGCAACTAAAGGAGGTAGAATAGAGGTGATGTGAGAGCTGGTGAAGAGAGTTTCAGCTTGGATAGAAGCATTGCTATATCGGGTGAAGGGGAAAAATGCTTTCTGGGTAATAGAGCAGACAGTAAGGGGACTGGTGGAGCAGAGGGGGCTTGGGTTTGGATGACTCCTATTTCTGGGGTAGTTCATCCACTCAGGCTGATCCACAGTTGTCCAATTTGGTGTCCTGTTACTCAAGAGCTGCATACCCTGTGTTGTGCTGGATAGGTGTGGTGCTTGGTCAGGACCTTTCCTGGAGCATAAACTGCTGGTTTAGCAGTGGAGGTGCACTCTGTAGAGCCTGTAGGAGAGCTTAGAGCAGTGACGTAGAGCTTGTCTGTCATGTCCTCTTGATGTGCTCTCTGTTGGGGACACCAGTTGTGGTTATGAGCTGGAGCCCCTGAATCCCTAGAGGCAGTACTTGTATTGAAGTCACCCTGAAAACTGAGAACTACTTGACAGAATTATTTAAAAACTACCTGAACTGGAAGAATCACACCAGACTCACCCATGGTATAAATAAGGTGAAAGAGGTATGATAAGGGGTGTGTGAACGCTTCAAGGTCAAGCCCAAAATCTTACCTGGTATATCGACACATGTCCTCCTAAATGTTGGTGCCACCTCTAATCTTAAGTACTCACAGGTGGTTGGCAGAGCTTCTGCATCTGAATCACAGAAAGAAAGATCTGGAGATACTTAATTACTTGAGAACTCTCAAGTTCTGACCAGAGTGATGAAGTGGTTATACCTCTCCACAGGAAAAAATATTTTCTATTTTCTGTCCCTTTATGAAAGCAGGGGATCAGTGTCCTCTAGCTCCCCTCTTTAAGGGGAGGATTTCTGATATGTGGCTACTTTTTTGTGGTCATTCCTTCAAAAACAGACCAACAAAACTAACTGTGAGAAATACATCCGAATAATGCTTGAGATGCTGGTTTGGGGTTTTTTTTGTGTGTGTGGTTTTTTGTTGTTTTCCTTAAAATTAAAAGGTGGTAAGTTCACACATCACAGTGTGCAAGTACTTTAAAGTTGTTTAGTAATCCAGATCTTTCCCTTTCTGGGATCCTGGAAAATATAAGGATATCCTTTGCTGTTGCAACAGTGGCATTTTTTTAAAACTGGACATATCCTTTCAACCCCTACTCCTGGCTGCACTTTAAGGGTATTTCCTTGCCAAGAGCCTTGAGGTGGAGGAGGGAGGCACTTGTGTAACTTAAACCCACTGGGATCTTATCCATGGGAGGTAGTAGTATTTTAAAGGTAGCTATGTAGCTGAAACCTCTCCATACACTGAAGACCTGTGTTTCTTTGGGTCAAGGATTCTTACATTTTGTAAATGACTTAATCTGAAATATTCCAGCCTGTTTTTCAGATGCTTCACCCTGGAGGGAATGGAGCTACAAGCCAGCACTGTGCCCTAGCAGCATCCTGGTCTGCATTAATGGGAGTGGGAGGGGGAGGTTTAGCACCCTTCAGTTGTCACTCTGTAGTGTAAATATGTCCCCTAAGAACAGCAAAGGTACAGGGAGACCAGAGCAAGCTCAGTGAAGGGCTCTCAGCTTGGTCAGGGCTGGAGTACTTGCCCTTGATGAGAGGCTGAGGGACTGGGACTTCTTCAGCCTGGGAAAGAGATGGCTCCAGGGAGGCCCAACAGCAGATCCCCAGCACTCACCGTGGTGGGGAGCAGTTGTCAGGATGAGAGTTGGGCTGTCACTGGCAGAACTTGAAACAAGAGGTTCAGGCTGGATATAAGGAAACATTTTCTTACTCTGAGGACAGTCAGACCAGGTGAATCATGCTGTCCAGAGAGGTTGTGCACTCTGTCCTTGGAGTTTTTCAAGAGCTGACAAAATAAAATTCTGAGTAAGTTGGTCTGAGCTTACAGCTGAGCCTGTTCTGAGCAGGAGGTTGGTCTGAGACCTCTGAAGCTTCCCTTCAGCCTGAATGGTGATCCTGAGTGGAGGTATTAGGAACTCCTGGAAACTAGGAATCAAATGGAATTAAAATTTGCCTTAGTTGGTTTAGGTTTTCGAGTAGGAAGGTAGAAAGAGTAGAGAGTATATCAGACTGAACTATGGAACCTGGGTGTTACTTGAAGGAATCTCTAACAGCAAAAGAATAGTAAAGGACAGGACTCTCTTGTATTTTTGTGTGTTTGTTTTGTTTTGGTGGGAGTGATTTTTTTCTTGTTTTGGGGCTTGTTTTTTTTTCCTCAAAAAAGGTATGAATTCGAATTTATAAAGCTGAAGTTATAGACAAGACTTTTCTTATTTTTTTGCTTTGTAAATGAATGAAAAATATGTCTAAAAATGAGTTTAATCAGCATGTATGATGTGTTGTGATGTACCACTGTCCTCAGACTTGCAAATAATTGCACTGTTGTAGCCAAGGAGTGCGGTTACTGAAAACTGGTGATCCAAATATTTACTCAAACTTTTGATTGCAAAATTGTGTTTGCTTCCTGTTGATGTTTTCATCTCTTACCAGATTTAACTTCTCTTTAGTTGTGAATGAAATGTTACTTCAGTTTTTATTTACCATAGGATAGAATATGTTTTAAGAAAAACAGAATGCTTGCTCTTCTTTAACACAAACAACACAATCCAGTTATTAACAAGTAAATTATATCTGTTAGGACATTGGGACCTTATTCTGATTAAAAAGTGTCCTTAAATCTCATTAATGACAGAAACTGAGGCTTGGCACCCAAAACAGTATTCTTTACTGGCTATAGTGTAGAACAAATACTTGAAGGCATTTTTGCCAAAAACCATGAGAAAGTTGTGCAAATCATCAAGACTTTTCATCCCATGTGAGCTTTTAACTTGTTTTACAATAAATAGGAGAACTCAACAAGGATATTTATCAAGCTTAATAATGTTCCTTGCAGAACTATGGCCTTGAAACAGACAATATGAAGAACCTGGTTCTCAAGCTGCGAGGGTCATCCAACAATCTGCAAAACTACATCAGCAGCCGTAGGAAAAGTTCAAGTTATGATGGAAATACCTCTCGCAAGCCCCCCAATGAATTCCTTACTTCTGTTGTAGAGCTTATTGGTGCTGCTAAAGCCTTGCTTGCCTGGTTGGACAGGTAAGAATAAAATGGTTATATTTTAATTTGCTGCTCTAATTAATTGCTTCTCTTTGTAGGGCCTTTCCTAGATGCTTGGGTGAAAAGATCTTGATGTCACTAACTCCTTTTTTTGGTGTTGCTAGAAGACCTCTAGTGGAAAAATTTAACATAGGGTATCCTTGCACTTCTGCTCTTGCTAAAACCAATAAAACTGTTAATATTTCACTCGAACCGGTATTTATTAAAGTATGGGTGTTCCCTTTTCAATCAGTTTCTCATATAAACTGTTTTCCCAGCTTCTAAATTACTTGTCATTGGCAGGTCCCTTCCTGAAAGATTTTTTAATGTTCTGCTGAAATCATGACATTAGCCTGTGTGATTTGAAAACTGAGCAGTGGGAGAGATTATCATTCTGCTGTTTCATTTTCTCTTTTTTTTGGGGATTATTTAATTGTTTTTGTGTCTGGAAAGAGCCAGAGTTATTTTGTTACAGCTGCAGCAGGTCAGGTGCTGGCATGGGTGCAGTCCATGATAACAGATGAACAAAAATTCTCAAAACCCTTGCTGTTTTTCCTGAGAAGGAAAGTTAGGAGAATAACTGCACAGGGACCAGCATCAAGGAGCACTTTTATCCCTTATCCTGCTCTCATGCAAGGAGTTGATCTGTGTCCAGGCAGTGATGCTAACATTTTGTGCCTCTCACCTGGTCCACTCCTCTTGATTGCTGGCAGCTCACCCTGATTTTTTTTCTGTAACTCACAGTCATCAAAATTGCTGGCTTGTCCTTTTCCAAGCCTGTTATGCTCATTTCTCAACCCCTCTCCTAGCCTTCGCAGCTGTCTGAAAGGTCAGAGGTAGGTCTCTACAGTCCCTAAAGGTGACCTGTAATGATTCTTCTCTAAGTCTCACTGTACCTCTGTGTGTAAAATGTGAGAATCTATTTTTCTTCTTCTGGAGAATTGTTTTTTCCTTCTCCAATCGGGAAGTTGGAGATCTACTCACTGGTAAACCCAAGGACAGGGCTAGAAAATTGCCACTTTTGGTGCAAGAGTGGAGCAGGACTCTGCAGTCAGGAATATTTATGTTGTAAAACTATCCTCACACCTGTGTCAATGTCAGAGTTGCAGCACTTACTCTCATACGCTCTTCCTTACTAGGAAGAGTAAGGTAGGATGGGAGAAGGCTGGTCCCTCCAATCTAAGGGAATTTTTCTCTTGTTGTAGGACCCCATTTACAGGTATTGCTGACTTTTCATCAATGAAGAACAGAATCATTCAGCTCTGCTTGGACCTCACTACTACTGTTCAAAAGGTCAGCTGATTTCTTTTCCTCTCTGCTTTCCAAAAGGGAAGGAAAGGGGGTGTTTGGGGAAGTAATGTGCTTGCTTTGTGCTGAGTGCTAATGAAAGGCAGTTCTGGGAATGAGAGCTTACTTTTAACTTTGAACATCCATGAAAGTGAGTTTCAGTTGCCTGTGTTTCTGAGTTGTTTTTCTGTTGTTCCCCCTGCCCTTCAATTTAATTACCAATTTTGGTATTGCTGTCTGGATCTTAAGTGACTGCAGCTTAAAGTCTACTCTTATTTTCTTGAGCTTTACTGGAAAGAGGGTTAGTCTTTGAAATAGTTGATCTGCATTTGAAGATTTTCATATTCCAGGCAGCATGTTGAAAAACAGTTATCAGTGCTAACTCTAAACAAAAATATGGCTCCATTGGTTTTTATACCTATGTTTGCAGACTCCATAAATCTTGTCCTGTGCAGGATGTTTTAGCCATCAAATGGGAAATGCATGAAATGGAAGGAGCTGCCACCTTTATAATACAGATCCCACTAGCCAGGCTGCATCTGCCACTACTGCAAGACCAGAATATTTTTCAAAACTTTAATTTACCAGCTCTATGATGAGTGCTTGTACACATAATAGCTAAAAGGACATGTAGCAACTGTGTTAATCTTGGCAGTTGACATAATTTTGCTCTCTGAATAATGTTGCCTGTTTTTGAGCCTGTTCAGAGAGCATGGCACTGCTGTGGCTGTGAAGCACTGTGTGCACACCTCAGTGACTTGGTCATAACCATTATTCTGTGCCCATATAATGTTTGAGCTCTGGAGGACCATGCCCTGTGACAGGGGTGATTCTGTCCCCATGCTGAAGGGATGATGTCAAAGGACAGAAACATCCTGAGCTGTCAAGCTGTGATGCCACCCAGTTATGTCAGTGTGTCATTGTGAAGGGCTGGTGTCTGGGTATCCCAGGGTTCACATGCCTGCTGCTCCATGCCCTTCTTGCTGGGGAGCTCCGTGTGCAATCGCACGAGCTCAGTGATTTGCAGCTACAGATGTGCAGACTCTGCAGTGGAACAGAACGTGTTTCTAGCAGCAGCTGCTGTTCACCCAAGAGTGCTACAGGAACTGAGATAGGAGATTGTTGAATGTATTAATAAAACTGCTGAAGATGGTGTCTAATCTTTCTGTTAGATCAGCCTTTGATGGCAGGGGAATGGAAGTTGTGAATACTACCCTGTAAAAAAAATGTCAGACTACTTCTCTGCCAGTTTGATGTGAGCTATAATAAAAGATGGTTTTGGTGCTTAGAGAAGAGCATTAATGGGGGAAGAACCAACCAACACGGTTTTTATCCTGGGACAGGGCACATATGCTAGAATAGTCTGAAGGTGTTCACTGATGCAATAAAAATCTTTAGGAGGGTTTTTAGACTTCAAAAGTATTTCTTATTAAGGGATAGGCTATAGAAACAAGTGGTTGGTTCTAATGGTGAAGAAGAGGCCAGAGTGGCTCTCATGGAACCAATACTGCTCTGCATAATCATAACTGATGCATAAAAGCATATAATAAAGCAAGGCAAGAATGCAATAAGATTCTAGTTTACCTTTGATGATAGCTATATAGATTTAAGGTCAGGATTTTACTCCACTTAAAGTTCTATGTCAAACTTTAGGGCTGAAATAATAAGCAGTATAAGCAGAACAGAGTGAGAGCAGAAGGACTTTGCAATATTGAGCATTTTGGCTGCATGATGATAGATGGAATTTGCTATTGATTTGTGCAGATGTATTTAGCAGAGAAAAGCAGGGGAAAGTCCTCCAAAAACTTCTCCAACATGACTCCTTCTTAAGCTTATTAAAATGCTTGGGAGTTTTCTCATTGTAGATATTGTAAACCTTGTTTTATTATTTATGTGCTGTTTTAACTTTTTGTCTGAGAATATAATACCGTTCTCCAGTTCAGTAGTCCTTGCAGAAAACAGTGATGACTTCTGTAGATTTTTACATGAGTTTGTTTCAGTTCAAAGACTTTTATACCTGGGCTGTGTAAATAATGCCTTGTGTGCAGTCCTCTGCCCTTCAGGAATGTCATTGATAGCATATTTAAAAAAATAAAAAAAAATCACTTTCCCTTCTATTTTTAACAGTACGCTTTAGGTCCATTTTGATGCCTGGGGCAGTGGAGAACCTGAGCTGGGGTTTATCAGTGTAAGGCAAGCACATCTGCCTGGCCTTCTGAAAATCTGATTTAATTGTGCAGGGTTCTGCTCTTCTGGAAAAGTCAGCTGCTGTAATTGAATCCCACATTCTCTTAGTTTTCAAGGTTTATTATTGCTTTCTACCAGGGCCAGAAAATAGTTGCTTAACAGTCCTTTTGAGCCCTACTGAGTGAAACTAATCTGACTAATCCCTGCAGCATGAATAACTCTGTTTCTACTTGAGGTTAAAATGGAAGTTTTGCAGAGTTTTTGGAGATGATTTGTTTCCATGTTTATTGGTTAATTTAGGGGTTTTGTTCTTGTTTTATTTTTAGGATTGCACTGTGGCTGACATGGAAGATAAAGTCCAGACTGTGGTAAGTTTATGTTTCTGTTGAAACTCAGCTGTTCGCATTCACATTCATTTCGTTTGCTTCTGGCTGTATTGACAACAGCTTTCAGTCCCAAATGCACAAGCATATCATGCAAGTAAACATTATTATGACTTGTTTTGTGAATATTCCTTACTGTAGAGGGAATCACTGAAATTGCAGCAGATGGATAGTGTGCGTTGGTAGCAAGTATTCCTTAAAGATTCATTACACAGCAATATTTCTGAGAGAATTTAACCTCAGATTTTCAAGGGAGGACTAGCACTGCAGAATGATCACAGGCCAAAGAAGCCAGTTATGCCTGTGAAGTCCATTTAGCGCCTTAATAAGCAGATGCTCTTCCTTACTATCCTTCTTCGTGTAAAAGAACTGCCCTGCCACAGAACTGAAGCTCTGGCTCTGTACTTGAGCTTGAGTTTCTAGGGCTGTTTGAAGCAGCCTTGTGACCAAATGCAGAGTGTAATGGAATGCTTTTTATATTTTGTAACAGTTAATCATCGCTTCCTGCTTTTGACATGAACCAGGCTGTGCTCTTTGATAAGGCCTTCCGGTAGCTCATAAATGCTTAGGAATTTAGTAGCACAATAACTAAAAATAATTTTGTTCATAAATAAAGAGACCACGTAAAAGGGAGTTTTCTGCATCTTTCTTTTCCCATTTTTGCACACACCCACACTGGAAGTAGGTATTGTTGTTTGGAATTCCCTTGTTTGAGCAGTTCCTCGCATTCACACTTAAGCATTGTTTTGATTTATTTTATTGCTGCTCTATAAATCTGACGTAAAACGAAACAGAAGACGTTGGAGCTATTGTTTCCAGGGGCCATTGTAATCCAAACCAATGTCTTCCTATGACATAGCTCCCCCCATTCTGTAATTACATGTGTCTACTTTGAAGCATTCAAGCCCCTTGTGGAAGGTGACTTGCTTTGCAGGTTCCCTAACTACCTAACTACTTTACTGTGTACTTATCTTCTCTCCCCTTTCCTTTAAGGTTTTGTAACCTACTTTGTGTGTCAGCCTTGCTTCAGCTGATGTCAAGACAGAAAACATAGTGGGACATAATGAAATTTGTGAGTGTAGAGAGGGCATAGATTTTTTTTGTCATTTTTTTTCTTTTTTTTTCATGTTTAATTAGACTTTCTGATAGTTAGGTGTTGTACAAGGCAAAGCCATTCTGCCTTCAACTTTACCGACACACATGCCAAGGTCAGAATTAGGCTTTAGTTATAATGTTGGCTTAGGATCAGCTATGTCTTGGTCAAAAGGAAATATGAACCTTGCCTGTGTAAGCATTCCAGAGGAGGTCAGTTCAGAGGCACAGCGGAGAGAAGTACTGCAGAAGCACTTAAGATGGTCCTAACTTATGCTGTAAGGTTTTCTGCAGATTTGTCAATGGCCAGCACATCATTTTTTGTGACACATGGTCAGTTGTATTCTTATAGCAGAAATACAAAACATGAAAAACTGTCAATTGTTTCCACAAGGAATCATCAAAATATTTCCATACTTCAATGAGTTCAATTTTGGTTAAAATGAACAAACCCCAAAGAAAATTTTTTGCTATATTTTGTGTCTATTTTTTCAGACAGAGGATTGTCAGCATTGGTTAGTGATGGTAGGGTGGCACTCATGAAACAGGTTGTTTCTGTGTTACAGTAAGGATGTAAACGTGCTGTAGAGTAGACCTGTACAAATGGATCTTTTATTTCAGTGATTTTAGAACTAATTTCCTTTACATCTTTTGAAAACTGGAAGAGGAGGAAGCCAGGAGGGAATTTTCCTAGCTCTTTTTTGTATGTTCTCATTGCAGGCCAAGACTTTAAATGGTATTTGTGATAAAGCCATCCGATCAACTACAGACCCCCTGATGAGCCAGTGTGCGTGTCTGGAGGAAGTCCATTTAACCAACATTAAACCTGGGGAGGGCCTGGTAAGAAGCAATTCTGGGGTGTCCTGATGTTCCCTGTATTTTATAGCTATCCCTGTGAAGCCAGTGCAAGTGTGTATTTATAATAAGGTATTTCAAAACTGATGATAACCTGTGGGGAAAAGAAAGAGGCACCAGAAGGAACCCTAAAGGTCAGTTGTCAGACAATGTGCTGGAGTGGCTGCCAGGGATAGATATGCATATTAAAAGGCTTGATCCCAAATATAATTTCTGATTCTAAATTACTGAAGATTTCTGGGCTAACCAGAATATTGAAGAATTTATAAATGCTTGTGAAGCTAGTAGCTGTATTTTTTCAGGTTACCACAACCACTTTTTTCCTAGGGGGACTGGGAAAGGGAGAAGACAAGAAGAAATGAGGCTTGTGTTTTGAAAGATGCCTTTTTATGTGTGTTTATAGCAAGATTGAGATGAATGTGAGGATTTTGGATGTTTGCAGTTAGCAGGAAAATGAGAATATTTTAACTGTTTGGAGGCCACGTGTCATTACTGACACCTGTTCATTCAATGGATTCTGCTTAGCTGAGTGCTGGTTATAAGAAACTTAATTTGAAATCTTGGTGGCTTTTCTGCCTAGGGAACAGATGTGTTAGAATGAGTTGGAGGGAATTTAAATTGTTAGGTATATTTGTATTCACCACTAGCCCTGGAGGCAGGAGAAATTAACGTTTTTAGAGAAAGGTGCACAGTCGTACTGTGCTGTATAGTTTTATCTAGACCAGTGGATTTGACTGAATCAGTCATGCATTCTTGAAATTATGGGAACCTCTTTGTTAATGCACAAGCTACACTGAAGCAGAGTCAGTCTAGCTTGGCTGAAGTAAGAAAAAAGGAGGTGGGTGCACCCCATTGGATATTGACAGGAAAAATTGGCAGGAGAGGAAGGGTCAAAAAGATCATCTACTTTTCCACTTTTAAAGCAAGTGTGGTAACTTCAGGCAGCTAAGCTGCTTTCAGCTCCTGAGTACTTCTCAGTGTGAGTGTTTATAACAACAGATATAGAAATGAAAAGTAGCTATGCACTTGTTCATAAATAATGAAATCAGTGTACTGGTCACTTCTTGTGGGAAATCTGTGTAATTATTAGTTAATAGCCTGTTTGTGATTTTTAATTTGGTGGTCTTACAGTGAACACCCACTTCATCAAGTTTGTCCTTGTGTTCACACGCAGCATTAACATACAGACCCACAAATACTCTGCTGGAACTTTTAGTGCTTATGTAAGCATTGTGGTTATGAGGCTGTCTGTGTATTGACTTACCTAGAGAAGCTGTAAAAGAACATGTCAGCAATACTTGTAGCCCACCTGTGTGTCAGACCTGAGTCTGCTCTGTTTGGAGACAACTGGTGGCTACCTAGTAAAACCTGTAATTTTCTAGAGCAGTCTGGGTAGTAAGGAAATAAAGCTCTTTTCAAGGCCAAGGACTGACAAGGCAGCAAAACTAGCAGTGTTTGATATTACCAACCAGAGAGCGTTTCTAAGTCTCATTCCATACACTAGGTGTTTTAAGTCATCATAAATATTATAATAAATACACTAAAAGTGATCTGTGAAGAAGTTTAGAGTCTTGTAATATTAGACCACATACTTTTCCAGAGAGAATATACAAATTGTTAACTGGTTTTAATAATGTTTTGAGTGTGTTGCCAACAGTGTTTTAATCAGATAAGTTGTGGTTTGATTTGCCTTTAAACTTGTTTTTAATTTTTTCTTTATGTTTAGGGAATGTACATCAAATCAACTTACGATGGATTGCATGTAATTACTGGAACTACAGAAAATGTAAGTGAGGCAAATGTAAATTCTCAGACAGCAGCTTTGATTGAGTTACTACTTTTTGTTGTTTTAGACATGACTTGCATGGTATTATTGCTTTAAGCATTGTGAGATCCATAGTTTGTTTATCCACAGTTTGTAAATATTTTGTGCCTGTATGTTTTACTGTTAGTCCGATTAAACCAGTTTCTGAAAGTACACAAATTAGTTCAAATGCTTGGCATTAAAGTAATTGCTTTAATAGGTTACTGTATCTGCTGTTCTGAGTTCTTATGGCATCTTACTTAACAAAGTCTTGGATGTATTTGCTTTCCACTGGCAAAGGCAATCTCCCCTAATGGGAGCATTTAGGTGGTAGTGTGCTAAATTCAGTAATGAGTAATGAAATCAATGAGCTGTCCCGTGACAAAATTACCTTGCAGAGTAAAAAGACTATGAACAAGTAAGACTTTAAGGGTGGTCAGCTGGAAGGAAGGAGTTGGCAAGAGAGGCAACTAATTTTTACTGCAGGTGGTTCCTTGTTTTATTTGTACACTGAGTTCTTTGTAGCTGAGAGTTTATTGAGGGCTTCTGGGCAGCCCTTGAAGGTGTGGACCTCTAGCCAGCAGCTGAGGCTGGCAGGTGATGCTGTGGTGTTTTCAAACAGGCTACTACTGTCCAGGAGGAGTGAGTGAAAGAAAAAAAAGAGCAGAAAAACCAGAGAAACTTGGCTTTTCCAGCAATGCTTTTTTGTGTATAGGAAAGAACCAGTGTTTGTAATTTTTCTCCTGCCAGGTCCAGGGACCTGGCAGGAAAGGGCAGAAATTCACAGTCCAGAGTGAAAACTTCTATAGCTTTGATACTATTGTCCTGACATAACTCTGTGTAGGATCTGCCACAGAGACTGTGTCCACTTGTGCAGCAATTTTAACATCTGATAAATGCAAAAGAATGTAATGTTGACTGCTGACAAGCTGCCTCTGCATGTAGGTCTTAATTAGGGTCTGTATTCCTTCTGTAGCTTTGAGCGTTGACCTAAGTGTCTGTTTTTGTTATCAACACTGGTTCTTCCTTTGGGGAAACTCCTTCCTTTGGAGCCACAGAACTTGATAAGTGAGAAATCTGCAAACAACTGATTACCTTATGGTAGTGTGGTACCATTTAGAGGACCCAGGCTGGATCTTAGCTCAATTTTCTTGCTAGATTTGGAATGGTACTTTAATAGCTATCCCCAGGAGCTGGTGTATGGGAATGCAATGGAGTTGCACCCCTGAATTGACAGTACTGAGCAGTGGAAGAACTGGGGATGTCCATTTGGTGTGAGTCAGCCAAGAGGATTCCTGAGTTGTGCCATGCTACATGTGACCTTGCATGTCACATTTGCCTAGAGCTAAACTTTGCTCTTTCCTCTGTTCTCACGATGTGATACCAGTGACTTGTCACTTGCTGCGGGAGTTCTCTGTGCAAGGGTCCCCCACCCTCCCTCAGATGAGCAGTTGGTCACCCAAAGGACAACTTGAAATGGGCTTTGTTTTTCACAAACTTGACTCTGGCCCAGCATTTTTTCATGATCTTGGTTGACTCCTATGTATGCAGCTTTCCGCAGAGGCATTTCCTCTCAGAGGAAGCAAGATGACAATGAAGAAACGGGGTTACTCATGATAGTTGGAGCCTCCCACAAATTCCCCATGCTTTCTTCCTTTGTTGCACTGTTTATTTCTACAGTTCTTTCTCATAACAAAGTTACTTGAGGTCTAAAGGTGTGATGAGGTGGAGAAGGGAGTCCTTAATCCCATTGCTTAGTTCTGGAGTTGCTAGGAAGAGCTGGCCTGCTGCCTGGTGGTTACCCATGGGGTGGGGGGAATGGGAGGAGTTGCTGTGCTGTGACTAGGGTGCAGCATGTACCAAGGTAGCGTGTCTGTGTGCTGTCAAGGCTGGTAGGAGTTGGTGTGTTACAGCAGTTGAGAGTGTTTTAAGTAACTGCAGCAAAGGCTGGTGCATTGCACCAGCTGTTGATAAATCTAAATACTGACTTACTTATCCATTTTTTGCTAACGGCTCCCCAGAGTTTAGGTTTTGTTCCAAGGAAATTGAATTTTAAAGTGTATTATTATTATTAGTTAGGTGTTTGAAAAATACCTGTCTATGCAAGTATTTTTATCTGCTGACTTTGGTGATTCAGGCAAGCTGTTTCACATTAAAGTCAGAAGCTTTTATTTACTTTGGAAAACAAAAAAGGAAAGTGGAAAGGATCTGTCTTGTGGATTGGAGGGGTTTTGGTCCTTTGTTCTGTACATTCAAAGTCTTAATATAGTTTTAAAAATAAATACTCATTTATTTAAAAGCTGTTTAAGATGGTTGTTGTGGTAGGATGGAAATCGTTGTCGTTCCTCTTCCATTACTGTCTCAAACTATAGTACAAACTGGAGGGAAAAGGAGAGTGGAGACTGTCCCATGCCTTAAGTACAATTAGGCCTGTAACAGATGGAGGCTATGCCTCCTCTCTTCCCTTTTAGTTCCCCCAGTATAAAAATAAGTAATTCGATTAATTCATTTGCATTTCTCAAGTCATTAGCAGATGTGAAAATGATGTATAGGGAAGAGCATTGCTAATGCAACCTTTGACTTAGGTTGTGGGTGTGGTTAGGGGAGGGAGGGAGACCTGCTGCAGCCCATGACTCTTGTTTTCATCTTTGTAGTCCCCTGCTGATCGCTCCCAGAAGATTCACGCTGGTGATGAAGTGATCCAGGTTAATCGGCAAACTGTGGTGAGTAAGTGGCAGCATTACAGACCTTCCCTCATGCTTGCTCTGCACCACAGGGGCTGGATGGATGGAGTCAGGAGGCAGTTCTGGTGTTTTCCTGGTGAAATACCTAACCCTTTTTAACATCTTATTTTCAAGACAAATTTTATTCTTTGCAATATTTTGATAAAATAAATATACAGTATTTCGTGTTTATATGCTTTATCCACCATATTAAAATAGTTCATGTTGCATTTAAGGCCTGTTTTAAAATGCCTTGTTACAATCCACTGAAATGCAGATAAAGAGCTTTAAAAAGCCCCCCCCCCCCCCCAATAATTTGCAAATATCTGGAAACCTGGACATAATGATTACATTTTTGCCCATTAAGCAATGCCTTTCAATATGAGAAAGAAAGATGACAAAAGTGGCTCACTGTGAATCCCTGTGTTAGTCAATTTGAGTATATCCACGCATTTTTCTAGGACTGAAACCGAGGTATAAAGAGCATTGCTCGATATCTCAGTATTTAGTTCACAGCTGAAGTAGAGAACTTGAAAAGAAAATAAAGAACCTTTCAAAAAAAGAGCTTTCCATTTTTTTTTTTTTAATTCTTAAGACAGCTTTTTTGAATCCCTTATCTCTTCTAGGTTCGTGTCAAAACAGTCAGACTTGGGGGATTTGGGTTTTTCTTGTTTGTTTGCTTTCAGAAAAGAAATGCTGAATGAAAGATGTCTTTATTCTTTTCCAGGTTGGATGGCAACTAAAAAATCTGGTAGCCAAGCTGCGAGAGAATCCTGCTGGAGTTAGGCTGCTGCTTAAGAAACGCCCTACTGGCTCTTTTCATTTCACTCCGGCTCCGCTGAAGAACCTGCGCTGGAAACCACCCTTGGTGCAGGTGAGAGCCTGCCAGCTCCACTCTGACCTCAGGATGGGAATGCCTTGGTTGAAGCTAGAAAAAAGAGAAACCCCAGAAATGCCCCGAAGTACTCATGTTTGAGTATAGGTCAAGGCAGGTTAGGTGAAATGGCTGTCCTCCTATGGTTCCTAGATAAAAGGGAAAATGTTCTTCTCTTTTTCTTTTTTTCTTTTTTTTTTTCCTTGCAACCAGATAATGCCTTCTTGGTACACAAAGGGACTAGGTGTGCTGAGTATTTTCATCAGTCTGTGTGCCACTGGGAGAACTTATCTGAGGCAAAACTGCTGATATTCATCATCAGCATGGAGCAATAAATAAATGCTTTCTGTATTTATCACAGTAATATGTTTTTGCTGAAATAACTTAAGATTGTTCCATATATTTGCCCTCTTTTTAGTCCAGTGAAGGGTGAGAAAGTGGGGTTTTTTTCCAATAAATTATTTAAACTACTAGTTTAAATGAGATTTAGTTGTTGGGCAAACACAAAAGGCAGACAGGGAAGGTGATATTAGTAATTCTTAAATAACCATGTTGAGGAATGGCTTGTTGTGTTAGGAAACTTAGGGCTTAATCCTTGCAGACATCCTATCTGAATTTAAACTAATTATCTGAAATTAATAAAACCAGGGAGAGTTCCCCCTCATCCTCCTGTTCTGGTACAGGTCTCCCTACAGCTGTGGGGTTAATTTAAACTTGTGAAGTGCTGGTGGCTATCAGAAGTCCCCATGACTTCTGAGCAGGTTTTTCTCAAAATGGGTAGAAGATGTATAGTTGACAACTTGTTTCTCCTTCCTTTCACCTGTGTGTGTGTCCTGTTTTTGTGGCATCATGCCTGACATGCACTACCAGTGGGAGGAGCTGAGGTGGGCTGGCTTATAGGCTGTGCCCAGCAGTGTTTCCTTGGGGGAGGGAGTGATTGGAGTAGAAGGGTCTTTGTCACCTTTTCTCTCCTTTAGGCAGCCAGGAACCTGGAAAGATGCTGAGAATATATAGAAGTGAGCTGCAAAGATTAGTAATGCCAAATCTATTTTTAATTTGATTCCCTGGCCCTAGTTACATCCATTGATCCAATCTGTGGTGAACTTTACTCTATTCCTGTCTTTGCCCCAGGCATTGGATTGTATGGAATAAAGGTAGCATATGCCAGCTTCACAAGGCTTGCTAATCGTATCTGTACTTAACAAATTGCATTCTTTTAATGCATCTAAAAATAGAAGAGGTGGTTTTGTCTCAGTTGCTTTTTTTGGCTGTGTTATTTACAGGAGAAATAGAACTGGAAAGAGCAAAATATTCTTGAGCAATGCATTACCCATGATAGGACTTCTGTGGGAGGCCCTGAAAAGCTAGCCAAGACTGGGGGTGGAGGAAAATGTGGATTCTAAGTTTTTAAAGTGTTCGTACATCACAGAGATAGTAGTTCACTAGGAGATGAAAATGGTGCTGTTGATTATTAGATCACCTTTTTGTGAATGATAAATGAACGTTCAGATGTTTGATAACTGTTTAACATTTCAGACCAGCCCTCCACCAGCTTCAGCTCAGTCACCAGAAGGCACGGTGGATACCTCACTGAAGAAAGAGAAGCCAGCCATTTTGGATCTGTACATACCCCCTCCACCAGCTGTGCCGTACTCTCCTCGGTACGCAAACAAACGCGCACCCCTGAACAGAAACCTCCTTCATTGCTCTTGTGTCTGAGCTGGCTTGCTCCTAGAGCTCTGTGCAGATTAGCTTGAGGAAGCTGCAAATCTCAAACTTTCTTCTAGCTGCCTAAATGAGCTGGGTTGCTTCTACTTTTCTGTAAATGTGTACACTACCAGGATTGTAACAGGTTTTATTGCTGGAAGAACATTTAGTGCCACAGAGAGCAGAGTTGTTCCCAGAACATGAACCAGTGTCATCTCTGGTTTTGTTGTGGAGTTCTGTTTCTGACACGGTTTAAATCCACACAGCAAGAAGTAATTTTTGTCCCTAACATTTTTCACTGTTGGATTTTTTTCTTTTTTAACAAGTTGAGTAACTGCTGTGGGAGTTAGGACAGAAAAGAATGTCACGTTAAATGATGCCTATCACGTTAAATCTTGAAACTTGCAAATTGTTTAAAACAAATATGTTCCCACTAAAGGGAAGGGAGAGGCAATACATCAACTTTTACTTTTTTATCCTGTGGGGTAAGCTATAAAAATGCAGACCTGTGTACACAGCAGGAGGGGGAGTGGTGTATATGGTAAGGCTGGCTGTTGTTTGTTCTCAAGTCCATATTGACTCATGCCAAAACCCTGCCAGCTGCTCTGGGAATGTGATGGAAAAAAGTTTTCAGGCAAGATGTGAAAGACAGGTGTGCTTCCTGGCCTTCCCTGACATTTTGGGTTACGTGTAGATAGCCCAGCAGAGAAACTGTGACCTTTTGCTGCAGGCCTTGTGGGTGGGAGAGCACTTGCATCCTGTCATGTAAGGGCTGATCCAGAGACAGAGGTGGTATTACTGCAGTTTTCAGGTCAGGACTGGAAGGTGGGGCTTGCTTAGGTGGGGTCTCTTTACTGAAGTTGGACCCACGTTGATGTGCTCTTGCCTTGCTTTTATGGTTACACATGTTCAGGTCTTATGAAAAAAAACCAATTATTTAAATCTTTTGGCATAATAACAAGCATACAGATTTAGCAGATGAATGCCTTAGTTGTTTCTTCAAATTATTACATTTCAAGCATGTTGGTGAATTATGTCCGTGTGCTCAATTTGTTTATCTTTCCTAAAGAGACACAAAATTATATTGAGCTTCAAATGCCTTTAGACCTGAATCCCTGTTGAAAAGGATACAAATGGCAATATGAGCTGTAAAACTTGTCACTTGGATGATTAAAAGGAAAGGCATCTTGACTTTGAGTTTTAAAGAGATGAAATGTGAGAAGCTATGGCAGGCAGGAAGTGGAGAAAGGACAGTTCTTTTGCCTTCTGTTTGGCCATTTATTTAGACCTCTGCATGTTTTGCTTTTTTCTTGAAATTGTGGTGCATTTTTGTGATAGTTGCTTCCCTCCCCACTCCATCATCCTGTTCTCTTACCTTCCTGGTAGGGATCTCATCTGTTCCGCACTGGGAGTCAGAGAGCAGTGTTTGATTTCCTTCCCCATGGCACAGTCTCCACATGGTGGTGGTGTAGGAGAGCTCTCCATGTACATATATACATTTCTGCTGTAACACCTGAGTGCATTTTTTGGTCTCTGCATCTCCATAAATAGCTCCTTCCTATTCACTGAGCTGTTAGCATTGTTGTTGCTGGAGAGCTGGACAAGTGGGATGTGCTGTCCAGGGACTGCTATGAATGTGTATGTGTGCAGAGACAGTCAGCAATATGTTTTTATGCCCAACTTGGCTAATGATTACTTCAAGCAATAAGGCTGTAACATGTAGGAAGAGGAAAAAAAAACCAGGCAAATCTTAGCTTGAAGGGTATTTCTCTTGCAAAAGTTCTTGCAGAATTTAATCAAAATCATATATGTGTGTGTGTATATATATATACACACCCATACACACTATGAATCAGTTACTGAAACTCCCAAGGAGCGAGAGAGAAGGTGGTAAATATTCAGCTATTGGACTCCTACAATGACTGAAAGGCAGAGTCCCTCAGATGGAGGTAATAGGTGTTACCATTACACAGATAGAGATGGATAAATTTATAAAGCACTTCCGAGTCACAACTATGTACTGGGCAGGCAGTGAATCAGGGGCTTTGATGCCCTCAGGACAGAAAGGTCTCATTTATCAGTCTTTTGCAGGAGTGGAACCTCTACATTTCTCAGTGTGTTAAATTACTGGCTTGTTAAGAGTGAATTAGCATGAGGGGGGGTAGCTTTCTTTTCTTCTAGTTAAATATAATGAAGTCTTCTCTCACCTGACTTACTTGGGGTTTTTTTTCCAGCTTGTTTTGCAGCACAATGCCAGTTGTCACAAGCATGGCTTGCTGCTAGAAATATCTTTCAAACCTACTCATGTCTGTAGCTTTAAACTCTTTCAAGCCACTGACTGAAGTGACATGTCCTTTCAGAGATGAAAAGGGGAGCTTTGTGTATGGAGGAGGCAACAAACGCAGCCAGCCACTACCTGGGTCCAAGGGCGCCGAGTCTCCCAATTCTTTTCTGGATCAGGAGAGCCGAAGACGAAGGTTTACCATTGCTGATTCAGATCAGCTGCCTGGGTATCCCGTGGAAGTAAACATCCTGCCAGCCAAGATGAGAGAAAAAACACAGTCCTATGGTGAGTTCATTCCTCTCTTTTTATCACTGTGGTGGTAAGGGTTTTGATTAGACTCAAATGATCTCTCCTGAAAAACTGCTTCTCAGACTTGATTGATATTGAGGTCATTTGTACAAATTCTGAACGTGGAATTCTACATCTGAAATTCCACATCTGAAATAATTTCTCTTAAGTGCTGTTATTTCTGTAATAAATATAATTCAGTTGGGGTCTGCTGCTACAGAAAGCCATCTCTACGTGTGTTTTGGTTATAACATTATCTCCACTCCTTCTCTAAATGAGTAAGAGAGTGGGTGTTTAATCTCAGCACACTGATCTCTTATACGTCACCAGTGGAAGTATCTTCAAATACTCTTTTTTCTACAATTTGAACTCTCCCTTTGTTTAACTGAGAAAAGCAAAAATTTAAAAATTGGTTTCCTTAACTTTATGTAACTTTTCATAACCTTCTATGTTGTCTCTAGGAAAACCTCGTCCTTTGTCAATGCCTGCTGATGGAAGCTGGATAGGAGCTGCAGAGCCCTTCTCTAGGCCACGAGGATCAGGGAGAAAAGGCAAGGTTTTAGGTTTTATCCTTCACTCTCTTCCTCTCCAAAAGAGAGGTGGTGAACTAAGGAAAGTGTTCAAATTAGGAATTACGGAGGATTATGGTTTGCATATTGTTGAACTGATGCAAGGTGACCATTATTGGGTTTAGCAGGAAATGCTACATGGTAACTGAAATTTCTGAGGCTGTTTAGTGATGGGACTCAAATCTTCTGCCTTAGACTTGTAGTGAGCATTAAAAGTAAGCTAGAATGACTAGGGCAGATCTGTACTTGTGACTTTATGGCACAGGTCCAGCATTTTGCTCTTGCACACGGCCCTTTCCCTTTCTACTGCGTTTAAAATTGATCACAAAGCTACTTTTTTGCTAAGTCTTTCTTTTTGTTTAGCTCACTGTGGAGGTTGAAGAAGCCAGCTTGTTCACAAAATGTAAAATGTAGGGCCTTTTAGGAGCTGCTTATTACTGCTACTGTTGTTAGAAAGGAACATATTCTGCAGGCATCACTGAATGGGGGAGAGACAGAAGCTCACAACATTCTGTGTTCGGTTGGATGGCTTTTTTTACTTCCCACACTGTCCTCTTCCCACTCTCTTTTGCATCTGAAAGACTATTTGAGTCCTGTTAAAGTGGGGAATAAGGATGACTAGTTTATTCTTGGAATCAGTTCTGAAAGCTGATGTCTAATTCTAGGTAAAATGAAAGCTGTGTTCTATTATTTTCAAGTAAAGGTTGAACCTGATAATGAGAAGCATCAACCTGGAGGGATACTTAAAGAGTGATCACCAGGTGGCAGGGCTGGTTTTTGTGTGTATGTTTTTTTGTTTGCTTTTACCTTTGGTTTTGTATTGACTTTTTTTAATGTTTGAAATATACCTAAGTACTGCAGGCTGGTATTTAAGCTGTGTTGGATCAGAACCAAAGGCCTGCCTAGACCAGTAGGATGTCTTTAGCAACAGATGATTTGGTCAGGTGTCTAGGGAAGAATTAAAACAGAGAACGTCATGAATCACTAGCCAAAACCAGTGAGGGAAGTACTTACATCTTCACTTGCAAAATTAATTTCTCTTGTCCAGAGTAATATTAGTAGCTTTTAAGTTACTTCTGAGTTATATTGAGAAGTTCATGGATTCAACTCTGGTCTCTTCAGCATTTTGAATAACACATTAGAGGAAGGTTTGTTACATCTCACCTATGGTAATGATTTGCATGAAGGTAATCTGTGTTAGCATTTTTGGTGTGTGTGAATCTGGAATATAACAGTCAAATGGTATCTCTTCTGTGTATGGATTTATTTCATTATTTCTGTTACTTAAAAAACATTGAAGATGCAAAAATCTGTGGATCTATTGATAGCTGCTTATGTCCAGGTCTTTTATGAACAAAACCACATCTAGGTATTTGAAGTGTAACCAGAATACTTTCATAAAAATAGAAAATGTCAATGGTGGGTTTTGAAGTCAGCAATAATGTTTTCCTCCTGCTGTTTGTACAGGTGAAGATGTCCTCTGCAGGTACTTCAGCAATGAAAGGATACCCCCAATCATTGAGGAAAGCCCTTCCACGCAGCACCCGCTCTCCAGGCCAGTGTCTGACAAGCACTTAGTGAGGGGAACGGATTATATTCGAGGCAGCAGGTGTTTTATGAATACAGACCTCCACAACAGTGCAACAATTCCATTTCAAGAGGAAGGTGCTAAAAAACCATCGGTTACATCATCCACAAAATCCTCCTCGGCAGAGCCCTCGCTGCTGGTCAATTGGATCACGAGACTGAAATTGTTGACTCACTGACTTGTCCACAGCGCTGTTCCCAAGTGCCTTTGCTCGTTGGTCATTCTGCTCTACCTTGCAGCTGAACTGATACACAGTGACTAATGTGTTAGTCTTTTCCTGGAGAATCTTACCCTTTTGCCTTTTTGTGTCATTTTTGATGGATCGGGGTGGTTTCATAGTGCAAGGAGGGAAGAAAGATAAAGATCAGGTTCCTCTTCCTGGCCAAAAACTGAAGGCATTTATTCCTGTGGAAATGAGTAAAATTTCAGTGAGGTAGAGGCCACACATGACCTGGAAAATGCTTAATGACTCAGAGGAAAGCATTGCGTTACTGTGAAGTCCCGTGGCACTTTAGTTGTCTGAATGCTCAGAGGCTGGTGCAACTGGCAGGGTGTCAGAGTATGCAGAGCTCACAGAAGCTGTCACTCTCCTGAGTGGGAAAATAAGGAGGAAAACAGCAGTTTCATGCAACTTGGTGATGCTATTTCAAGTATTGTGTGAGATCAACCTTGTGAGGAAGAAGTGTTACCATTCTTTCTCTGATATCCAGAGTTCCTATGAAGTCTTAGGAAGAGAGTTCTCTTATTCAGAGATTTTAGGAAGTTGGACTAATTTAATTATAAACCAATCCAACCTTATATATATAATCTATTTTATTGAAATCACAGTACAAATATGGAGCACTGAACAGCTGCAGTGCTCATCTGTAAAGGTATATGGATTGCTACAACATGCCAAGGAAATGCATCTGTAAGAGGTGGTGAAAGAATATATAGTTTTTCCTTAATTGTTTAAGAATGACTTGCTGTTAACCAAAGTAACCTGTTCAAGACAGTCCTGTTGGACTCATGAGAACTTTTACAGTGGTTCAGTTTTTGAATGATGTGTTGTTTTTATGAAAAATATGTGCTATCATACACTACAATTGTAAGACGTCTTGCTATTTTCTATATAGCTCTAATTTTCACCCCTCCAGAATTTTAAACTAGCATTGGGTATTTTGGGAGGAAAATAAAACTTGCTTAACAAAAGAGGAGGATATTAAAGAGGTATTGTTTAAGAAGGAATGTACATAAGATTGTTAGTGTGCAAACAGTTGTGTTTAAAGTTATTTAAATGTTAAATATAGTTGTATATATTTTTACATTTAAACGGATAGAGTTTGTACCTTCCTGTATTGAGGTATTTGGCACAGCTTAGTCAAATGAAAAGAAAATAAGATTTTGTATTACCTTCTAATTATAAGACTAACTATTTTTGTAGATGATACATTGCCAACAGCCTCTACTCCTTTGGTCTTGCTGAAAAGAAGGATTTATATTCAGTAATTGGTGGGGAAAGAGGGAAGTTAAATGCCAGTTTGCACTTAGGGGCAGTAATCACATGTGATAACAGGATGTTAAACACACACTAATTCTGTCTGTGAAGATGTCACTGTTCTACTGCAGCGAGCTGATGAAGTTGTGCTACAGCCCAGCAGAGACTGACAGGGTATTTCATTCACTTCTCAATTAATTAAATTTGACTGAGACTCACTAATGACTGGAGAGGCTGGTTTGGACCTTTCTGATCAAAGCAGATATGTCTGTCTTCTGCCACTCTCCACTCTCTGCGATGGCAGTCTGTATAAGAGACTGCTGTGTACTGCTGTGTTGAAGGCTCTGTGGTGTAGTATAGTGCAGCCTTCAAAGGGCTGAACTGTTCTAAAGGTGTTGTCTAAACAAGGCTTTTAAAATGGAAATTCTGCTCATCTTCAATGTCGTGTTTTCTGTGCTTTAAAAATGAATGGAGACCATCATACTTAACCTCTTATTGTATATAATGAATACAGAGGATGCTCTACAGCTTAGGGGTAAAAAAAGTCCCACAGATCTAGGAGTAAATCACAGCTGATATCTTTCTGGCTTAACCTGCAGAAAATTCTGCTATTATGCAGAAACTTGGCTCATCTCTTAATGTTGATGGTACGTGTATCTATCAGATGAAAAACTATCTAGGCTGCCTTCGTAATGAGTACCATGTATGTTTCCAGATACCCTGCCATGGTGCAGTACTCCACAATACTCTGAATACACTGTCATGGTGGCAAAACAGTGCAGTTCATTAGTAAAGATCATTAACCCCAGAAAAATGGAAAATAATATTTAGTACTCATGCATATATGTATTGTGAGGTTCATGCACTTTTGAAATATTGAGCAGGCTTCTGTTGTAGTCTGTAGAATATGTAAAAACCAATGCCTTTGCTTTCTCTTACATAACTATTGCAAAAAAAAAAAAAAGTCCGATTTTGGATGGTAATGTGGGAGAGGAAATAAGACATAAAAATGAACACTGATGGCTTGTAGAGACAGAGTGCAGGGCAATTCTCCAAGCCATGTGTTTCCTCTAGTATTATGGACAATTAAATTAATCACTTTGAATTCTGGATGACCAACAGAGGTGGACACAGTACTGAGAGTATTACAATAATTTTGTGCTAATGAGCCGATAACTTATCGGTCCTCATAAGCAGGGCTTCTTTTGAAAACAACATGCTCACTGAACAGAAAGGAGAGAAAGTAAAAATCCAAAACTTTACCAAACCAGGAAACAGATGGTGAAAACTAGCTTTGCAGTTGGAGTGGATAAAGAATTTTCTTCTTGCATAAATGTTTCTTTAGTCCAGATCTTGCATCCTGTTTTATTACACTGCTACCAGGTAGTCTTCACAAACTGCTCTATTCCCACAATCACATCCTGAATAGACCAATTTAAACCCCTCATCAGGCTTGAACTTAGATCTTGATGAATTCAGCTCAAGCCTTTTTATTGCAGGTTTTACTTCCCTGGGAGCTTTCCTGTGTTCATCATTCAGTTTTTGGAATATTTTACACATGATTCAGGCAGAAAGGCTTTCCTGCACATGCATTCTCAGAAATGCCTTTGCCAGCAGGATTGGTATCTTGGAGGAGTGTGAATGTTGGCTTCTGCTTGTGTTTTCTGCACTAAAATATTCATCCCCCAATTTCCACCATACATCCTAGTGCACAATCTCTAAGTGTTGAGACAGAAATGCCCATGGTCAATTGGAAAGAAGTGGTGTGTCCTTTGGAGTAACCTTTGTCCTGCTGTACAGCTGTGGCTTCTTCTCTGTAGCCTGAGCTTTACTTTGCACATGCTGTGGTTATGCAGCACGTGCTCTTTATGGCTGTCACAGGAATGCTTTTGTCTCCTTGCAGGCTTTAAGGTTTTTATAGTGGATAAGAGCTCTTGAAGAAGCCACTGATTAACTCAGCATATTCTGTGATTCACTTAAGATGTGGAAAGAGCGCTCCAAAAAACCTCTGTTTGGAGAATGAAAAAAGAGGGATCAGGCTAAGCTAAATGTATGGGTCTGTGTTGAGTTGAATGCTGCTTCACTAGTGTGGCAGTAACTCTGCAAAGAAGACACCTCATACCACTGCAGCATGCACATTTGTTTTTAGCCCTACATTTGTAGTATATTTGCTAGAATAATATGAAACAAGGGCAGTCTTTCAAAGCAGTTATATACAGTTCCACACACCACACTTGGGCTGTAAGATGTATGACAAAAGCAGTCAAGAGCTGCTGTCAGTGTGTAATTTCATCAAATTCTGCTGCCTGTGCTGCTGCCGTCTCAGTTTAAAATAGTAACCTCTCTTTATCCTGTTGCCTGCACAGTGCAAGTCCCTAACCATCAATTTTGTCTTCCTTTGTGATAGTTAGCAACTGCTGGTAAGATTGTGTCATTTCCACAGGTCCTTGTGCAGTGGTCTAAAAGCTTAGTTTGGGTTATTCTGGACTTTGTCCAAAAGTAGAAAGTCAAATTTAAAAACAGTATTACTGTTCCAACATCACTTAGAGTTGGGATTTTTTTTTTTATACATACTAAATAAGAAACAGGCAGGAGTTGTCTGTTGCACATACTTTGCCACTGGAAGAAAAAATGAGGATTACATACTCAGTGGAGGAAAAAACCCTAGACTTTTGGGAGTCCTCCAGTTCCTGCCAGTGGGAGAAATGTGTTTGTTTTAGCATGACATAGAATAGATGTAAACATTTCTTTTTAAACCTCCCTGTGTGGTCACCTCAGTTATTCAGGATGATGTAAGCCACTGACTTTCTCCCTTAAGTAGTTATGGAGTTACTTAATATATTTTTTTGGGAGAGGGGAAAGATATCTTAGGAAATTACATGATTGATTAACAGGTTAATGGAGGCAGAATAATTAAGCATAAAATAAGTGCTAGAGAGTGCCAAGTTTTTATGATTGTGGTTTGTGTTTGTTCTCTGGGGAGGGTGAATGTTCTCTATGCCAGACAGCTGCCAAGGAATTGGAGGACAAGAAGTCAAATTTGCTGTGCCATCTTCATCTGAGAGGGGTACTTGCTTGGGCTTTTTTGGTTTGTTGGTTGGTTGTTTCTGACACCCTCCTTGGTCAGTGTAGCCCTTTTTCAGTGCAGCCAGAGTAGGAACTGTTGAAATGTACCTGTGGAGCAAACCTGACAAGATCCTGATGGATCACTGGGCTGTGCTCACTGATGGTGCTCAGCCACCACGTGTTTAGATGTGTTCTGGGAGTGCCTTTGCAGGTGAGGAGCCTCAGACCCTTGTGACCTTCTCTTAGAGGCTTTTTTGTCTGGGCAATATTTACTGAGAGGCATAAAATATGCCATAGTCTAAACTGATGTTTAATGTTTTGACCTTGTATTTAATTTTTTTTTCCCAAGTAATTGCATGCTTCTCAGTGCTACTTATTAATGTTTTCCTCTTTCATCCCCCATTAGCTGTTTTCAGTACCAATGTTTCTAATGAAATCCTCCCATATTTCCAGTGAAATTGTTCATAATGCCAAGTAGTTACAAATGAGCCATAAAATTTTAATCTGTAAACCATAAAAGAACCCCAACCATACAAAACTCCATTAGCAAAACACAAGAAAAAACCTCTTTTTATACCTTGTGAATAACAGCTTTGTGAATGATAATGAATAATAATGAAACTAAGGATTTTCATCCAGGCAAAGGATCAGCCAGACTTGAGTGGCTGCACCTTGGGTGATTTGCTTGATTTTATTACATGACAGTAGAAAGTGAGGGCTGTAATTCAGGTACTGTAGATTCTTGCAGAGCAACTGTGGTGTTTAAATGTGTCTCCACAGAACATGACCAAAGGCTTTCTCAGGTGTAACACAGTTTTAGCTGAAACTCTTTCCCATGTCACTGAATGTCCCATTGAACATGCAGAAGTCTTAATATTGTCTGGCATAGTTCTTGACCACTGGTTTCTGGGGGGAAGTTGGTATAAGTTCTGTAAGTGGGTGGGATGAGACCAAAATAAATGATGTCCTAAATTAATTATTTCCCTTTTCCTATGTCCTTCCTCTCTGACCTTTTCCTTCCTACATTAAAGCTAAGGGACTCTCCAAGAATTTATTTCTCAAACAAACAGCTAAAAAGTCTTTATAGTGTAATCAGTTTGTTTTGATGTCTGTGACAGTTTTGACCAGTGGCTTCCAACAAAAATAGTGCTGCCCACAAGACAGCATTTCCAAGTTCTTGATTCGTATGTGAATTCCTCTCTGCTTAGTAAGCTGTTGGCTTAGACTCTGCTTTGAAGTTGCTTAGACCACCCCAAGCAGTCCTTGGTCCTTTAGGTCCAGAGACATCGGCTTCTTATCACTGGATAGGAAGAAATGTCTGGTTTTCCCCTCTTTCAGAGTTTTGTAATGCTGGATTCATAAGTTGCTATTGGAGAGATGGGTGTGGACCTCCTGCCCTTCCCTGCCTGCCCTCCCCTGCTGTCTGTGCAGTGACTGTGTGGGACAAGAAGGTGAGGGGAAACCCATCAGCTAAAGCAGCAGCCCCTCTCTTCCCTCCCTTATGCTCAAGACATGAGTGACAGGCCTCCGAATAAAAGTCTAATGGGACAAGATCCGTGATTTGCAGAGTTTGTTTTCCTGTGGAAGTGTGGGAACATTGTGGAGGGATGATGTGTCACACAGTGTTAGCGCAGAGGTGATGTGAGTGAGCTGTTATCAGCATTTGAGCACCTGGTGTGGCACAGGCATGTTTCACCGAGTGCTGCACAGAGAGACCTTTATTGAAGCAAAGGGGACAAGCGAGCTGGGGCTGCTTGGGAGAGGCAGCGAGGCAGAGACCCTGGGGTGTTCACACATGGGTGAATCTGGCCACAAGTAATGTGTTTGACCTGCTGCTGACCGTGGCTGGCTGCTGTTCTTGGGATGGGTGGGAAATAAGGCTTTTAGAAGGATGTGGAAGAGGCTCAGGTTTCAGCATCATGACTCATTTTCCCAGTGGTTGACCAATGCGGGGGGATGTGTGATGGGAAGCTGAGATGAGAAGTACTCCTGCTCTCTTTCTATCAAGAAGTGTCAGGGAGTGAAAACAAACATCACCAAAAGTCTGAAGTTCAAAAAATCTGAATCAAGCATGGTAACCGAAGCTCATGACTTCTCCCACAGATCACTCCTGCAAATGTGGCTTTTTCATCTAGTTTGCAATGCAGTATTAGGTGTGTTTTCAAAATGCAGAAGATTTTGGAAACCCTCTGGTCTCACACAGCGTTTGCTGTTCATGTATCTGGCTGTGAAGAGAGACATCTTGGCTGATGAGGCTGACTCTGGCAGTGTTGTCTCAGGGCAGGAGCTGCTGTAAGATGATATTTGCATCACCATGATGAGTTTGATACAGCTTTTTTTGGGTTGGATCTGCATAACGTGCCTACATTTATAATGAAGTGGAAGTCAGTTATAAAATCACAAAAAGTGTATAAAAGCCATTAGTGGGAGAAGAGATGCTGCAAAAACATCTGGTTGCTTTCCAACACTCTTGCCTAGTTTGCACCCTTAAGACAAAATTCCAGGTGCTGCCCTAGTGGAAGGTGGCACACTGTGTGATGCCAGAGGCTCATTTCCATTTTTCAAAGCACAGGCCAAGCAACATTTCTGTTGTTTTTCTCTAGGTCTTGAATGATTTCCAGTGAAGATTAGTCTATTCAGTTTGTTGCCACCTTCTCCCTTTGCTCAAGGTGCCCTTGCTGAGCACCTCAGGCAGTTTTGGCATTGTCACACTTTGGTGCCTGCAGAAGGCAGTGTTGTGTTCAACATGCTTGTGCTGCTTTTGTACTTGAGCATAAATAAGAAATTCTCCTGCTAAGTAAACAGGGCTTGTCAGGCAAGAGGCTCTGTCCTCAGCACTAGGTCTGATTGTCCTTTCTACTTTTTGTGTCAAATCTGATTGGTTACTTAGATCTGTTTTTGATTTATGATTGAAAGGGTGAAATGAAAATAGGATCCTGTTGATGAAGAGAAGACTCAAATGAACATTTGCACAAATTAATAAAGGCCAGAGAAACAAGAGAAGTAAAACCAGGCACTAATTCTTTATCTGAGCAGTGCTAAACAACAAAACCACAAAGTAAACGTGTATGTGTTTTGCATTTGTGTGGGGTTTCATATCTCAGCCTACTGTCTGGAAACTTTTAATATTCTCCTACAAGTTGCTTGACAGTGAGTTGCACATAGTTGTGGGATGCTTATGGTCAAGCTGCTGTTGTATTTTGGGAGAGCAGGCTTCTTGCTACACCTGGATTTTCTGTTCCTTCCCAGCCCTCCCACTCTAAAACCAATGCACATCACATCAGGTGGCTTTCAAAATTATAATCTCATCACTAGATCCTCTTTTCACTGTCCCACTCAGTTCAACTTTTGAGAACAATATGAAATGCATTTTTAAAGGCTGAAGATGCTGGAATACATAAACACAGGTAGATGTAATTATTGTTTGGTTTGAGAACTGGAGTCATTGTAAGGCAACAGATACGCTGCTGTATTTAAGATGAAAAGTTGTTCTTCAAGTAGAAATTGTGTTATGTACTTAGACTATTAAATACATGTTTGATTCAGAAATGCACAAAGCACCATTTGTGCCACTTAAAGTTCACATGGAAAAGCTGAATCACCCAAGCCATCTGAATGATGCACACTATTTGGTAGTTGTTTTCTTCAGCAGGCAGCTGGTGATCTCTCTTCCTGTATTCTGGGCTTGGGTGGGGGAGGAAAAGGAAGACAGAAAGGAGTCTCCGGGGTGGGGGCAAAAGCTATTGCTTCATGTGTGCAAACTTAATGGTTTTCCTGAGATCTCTCTAAATTGGTGGTAAGTTGAAGCTATGTTAAGAGGATTGAAGAGGCAATAGATATTGCAACTAGGTTATAAGGAGTTTTTATTTTAAAGTAATGATGCTTTATGAACATTTTAGGCATGATTTGTTCTTTATAAGTTGTATTTCTAGCCGTTCTTCGTGGTGGGAGACATGGGATATGTGCTAGGGATGGGGGTCCTTCAGACTTGGTAGCTTCTGTGTCTCCTGCTCCCCTCTTGAAATACGGAGGTAAACTGCGAGATTTGTTGCCTCAGTCACCCACCAAAAAATGCTAACTCAATTTCTCATGTGCTGCTCATGTTGTAAAGTTAGCACCCAATGTACATGTTTGTCTGCTGAAGCTCAGTGGTAGTGAAGGGCGTTTAGTGCTGAAAAAACCTCCCAGGTCAGGAGTGGGACAGACATGTGACAGAGTTGGGGGGAGCAGTAGTTTTGCAGAAAACCCCACACGTACTCTCTGAAGCCGCATCCTTAGTTTTCTACATTTAGGATTTATCTTTTTTTTTTGTGGATATTTTGTTTATATTGACATTGGCAAAGAAGTCTTTTTCTTCTTTTTTTAGTGATCTATCTCTTTATTACTCTCTGTTTTACTTATTTAGATGGTCAGATTTTTTTTTTTAGCAAGCCTTGTCTTGTAGTTTTAACTTCCTGAGTGTGCTGGGTTGGGGATTTAATTGTTCTCTATTGTACTTATTAGTACATTTGAATGGGTCTAAAGAGCAGCAGAATGGAAAAAGCAATACAGAGAAGCTTTGCTCAGATCTTGATTGTCTGGCTTTTCTTTGGGTTTTTCTTTTTTCCCAAAGCTGAAGAGGGATGCAGCCAGCAGGCATTCAAATCTTCTTTTGAGACTAAACCAAACTGTGTGACTGTCAGTGTGATTAATGAACTGCCTGGGAATTGATGGCAAATGACTTGTATTTCTAACCAACACAGAACTGGGCCTCTGGTTCTCAGCAGATTCTTCAAGAGAGCATCTCATTTACTGTGCAAGGGGGGCACTTCCATTCCTTTTGGTGACTGTCAATTTAGGGCTGGCAGTGCCTGCAATAACATGAAGTACTTACCACAGCAGGTAGTTTCAGCGAGGGGCAGCAGCCCCTCTTGCTTAGAAAACATTGGCCTTTGAGAAAATACTAAATCAATCTATGTTGCATAGTCTTAAGAAAAGATGACTGCATTGGTGTCACAAGAACAAACATTAAAGATTTATGTATGAAATTTATAGGACAAGAGACAATAAGCTTAAATTGCGGCACAGAGGTTGAATTTGGTTGATGTCAAGGAGAGCTAAGCACTGGTTTAAGATGCTGAAGGGAGCTGTGGAACCTCCATTATTTGATGTCTTAAAGAACGGGTTAGGCAGCCTCTGTCAGAAGTAGCCTGAGTATAATTGATCCTGCTGGGAGGGACAGACTTAATGATCTCTTGATATTTCTACAGCCTTATGAATTTGCCGAGATGTGAGTAGGCTGTATGTGATTGCATCCTGGTAGAGTTCATCAAGTTCTTTCAGGCCCTTCTGGATAAAAGCCGCCATGCACACTTCACCATAACCATAATAGTGACATGTGGAGGTTTAGAGGACCCTGAAGCAATCAAATGAATGTGTGAGAAGATGCACTTCAAGGCCACCACACAGGAAAGAGGGACAGGGAGCATACATTCAGAATCAGTAATTTTGCAGTTTGGTACTTACCTAGAGTAAAATCATCATCAAAAATTAACATTGTCGTTCTTCAGTTAAGGCACTTGCAGAACATTTCAAAAACACCACTTTTTGTTTTGAGGAACTATGGGGGTTTTCCTCTTAATTGAAGGAAAGTGTTTGGAATGGTGCTACATTCTGGCAAGAGAAGGTGTATGGATAGCTCTAAAATATAATTTGGCCTTTTAAAATCAAGATGCTAGACCTACAAAGTCTTCTCTTTTATACTACTTCCTGAGTTGAAAGACACATCACTGCCATTTCTAATGTAATTTTTAATTTTTAAAAAGGAAAATAACTTGCAGACAGGTAAGGCAGCTCTGTGCTTATGGAAGTAGCTTGTTTCTGTATGTAAGTTCCTTGTTAAAACAAGCTGTGAAGCAAAAAATACCCACCTTCATCTTTCAGCCAGTGGGTGGCCCGGGGGTATGAGCTTTATGGGAGACACATGGGTGGCATGATACCAAGAAATTTATTTCTCATGCAGTGCAAATCGTCAGTGGCCAGAGTTTCCAGAAAGCAGCACCAGATGTCCTGAATATTTTGACATTCAAGTCTGTAGAAAGTTCCAAAGAGGAGGAAGTGAAAGAATGGTGGCAAGTCTCTTGCAAGCAATTTTAGGGATGTGGGACTTCATTTGCACATGAGTGTGACAGCTCTTTTCAGCAAAAAGCATGGTGGGAAGTGGGATAGACTTTGTCTTTACTACCACTCAAAGGACTGAGCCATCTGCTTTTTCATGTCATCAAGGAACACTCTCTGGTCTGCTGCCTTTATCTCTTCTGTGGCATATTTACTCTTTCCATAAGCAACACACGTGCTTCTGCAGACCTGTCAGTATTGCCCTCACTACGATTCAGAGTGCACGTAAAGCCAGTAGTTATTTTAGGAAACAATGGCTGAGTCTCTGCATCAGATTTCAAGATACATTTTTGGGCAAGTTTTCAGATAATCCATTTATATGCAGTTGAAGTGCTTTGAAGATATAAAGTGCCATGTTACAGATAAGTACTGATTAGTCATGCAAATAAATGGAGATATTTTAATTAGGGCAATTTCAACATGACTTGTACTGTGGAAAAGAGCCTATGTAAACATATTAAATAGGTAATTTATTAGTGGGAACAACCTGTGATTAAGGGTG